AAATATCCTTTCATAATAGTTGGCGACGAGGCATTCCCCTTATCCGAAAATTTGCTTACGCCTTTTGGAGGTAAGCAACTGACACCTTTAAAAGAAACTTTCAATGCTAGATTAACCCGTGCCAGAAGATATATCGAATGCCGTTTTGGTATTCTAGCCAACAAATGGCGTATATTTCATCGACCTATTGACCTCGATATTGATGTAACTGTAACTGTAGATAAAGCTGCTTGTGTGTTACATAATTTTATAAGGACAAGGGATGGCACTGGGTCGAATGACGAGAAGTTAGATGAAAATATCAATCTTGAAGGTCTAGCACCAGATACAACTCACAGAGGAAATCCATTAGCATTATCTGCTACAGATAAATACGCTCAATATTTTGTAAAACAAAAAAACCGTTTAAATAATAAAGATAGCCAATAAAAATGTTGTTAATTTGTTATTATAAACAATTATTATACCTATCTAACTGCTTCTTTTCGTCAATTGTGCTGTTTTCTTTTGCAAACAAATTTACTAGTTTCTACCAACATTTTCTTTTCATAACCCTATCTCTAGTTCGCTAATTAGCTTTTCAATATCAATTTTGTGTGCTTCCATTTCTATACAAAACGAGTCGAGGCACGTACGTGTGTGAACAGAGTAATCTAATGACACTGAAAGACTCAACGCGCCACTTGAATTAAACCGACTCGATTCCTCAGATCAACTACAAACCGAAGCTGTTTTAAAACCGCTGCATGAACCGAAACGCGTCGTACCGCTGTGTGTATTTTGTACTACGAATGATATACGTATTATACAGCATACGACTCGGGCACCAATTCGATAAACGCGTCGGTCAAAAAAGGTCTGTTTGTCTTAACCCTAAGAACTACTGTCCGAAAATTAGCCGTTTTCAAATTATACTAATTTTCAAGATTTTATAAAATTAACGTCCTTTATACATTAACCAAGTCATAAAACTTGAAAATTGGGTGTTTCATTTGATTTTCTTTTGGTTTTACAATAAAAATACTCTAAAATACGAAAATTTATACTCAAAAGTACATTATTGACGTTATCTCATGCAGTTAGTTCGATTTTTGTTAAAAAAGTCTTCGTTCATCTCAAAAGCTTCAGTTTACTAGAAAAAGTCGCATATTTTTCGTACAAAATAATTATAAAACATCTACGTTTCATTACCTTTCAAATAACTAATCCATCAAGTTTTAAAGAACTTTATCAAAGATATTTGAAAGAGTGCTGTACGAACAAATTTATGACTTTCGTATGAGTAACAATATTATTCCTGGTACTCAGTATGGTTGTCGTAATCAGTGGCTCTAACAAACGTACTCGATGACATATTAAGAGCAAATGATAAAAAGATGAGTTCAGTTTTGGTACTTCTAGACTTTTCAAAAGCTTTTGATACCATTAATCATGACTTGTTGGTAGCTAAACTTCAGTACTATGGCTTTAATAAGGAAGCATGTTTGCTTTAAAAATCATATTTGTCAGGAAGGTATCAATCGATTCTATCAAATGACACATTCTCAGACAAAGCGGAGATCCTATCGGGAGTTCCTCAGGGATCAATATTGGGCCCCTTGTTATTTTTGAATTTATACATCTGATATCCTTACGTCTTTAAAGTTTTGTAAAGTTCAGGCCTTCGCGGATGACACCCAGGCTTATTGTTTTTTTGATATTGAGGATTACAAATATTACGAAAATTGTATAAATGAGGACATTAACACCTTAAACAATCTCTCATTAGGTCACAACTTAAAACTTGATAAAGCAAAATCGCATGTAATGATTTTTGGTAACAAATCTAAGACTGAGTTTTTGAAATCTAATCTCAATATAATGGCTAATAATTCAAAATTGAATTTTGTTGAAATGACAAAAAATCTCGATATAGTTTTAGATTCTCAGCTTAGATTTAAAGATCACCTGAAAAATCTTATGCAAAAATCATTTTGTTCTCTAAAAGTTTTGTATAATAACAGACACATACTAAACAGGTCACTAAAAAAAAATTGTGTGAATCCCTAATTCTTTCCAATTTCAATTATTGCGATTTTGTCTATGGATTTTGCTTAGATCAGGCAAGTAGGGGTCGGATTCAGAAGGTGCAAAATGCGTGCCTCAGGATTACCTATGGTCTGCGTAGGTTTGATCATATATCTCATTTGTATAAAGAAATTAAATGGCTTAAAGTGAATGAGCGTCACACTCTCTAGTTTTTTATTAAAAATTATAAACACTCCAGGTTCACCTGATTCTATAAGAGAACGCTTAATTTTCCGACATTCTGTTCATGATATAAATGTAAGATATACTAAGTGACATATAAATCCGAACACCCAGTTTAAATGGTTCTATTTTAATAAAATTTTGTACTTAATGAAGCATAATAAGTAAATGATAAATATTTCAAAATGATTGCACTGCTTCAAAGCCGTTTGACCTTTAATAATGTGTGGATGCACCCTGATGTGCTACGCATTCTCCAACGCGCCTAGGCATGCTTCTGATCAGGTGGTCAATGTCCTCCTGTGGTATCTCATTCCAGGCAACCACCATCTCCTCTCGAAGTGCTTCTAGAGTCTGAGGAGGACGTTGCAAATTGAGCAATCTCCTACCCATCATATCCCACACGTGCTCAATTGGGGATAAGTCGGGAGATCTTGGTGGCCATGGTAACAATGTGACATCATTATGTTGAAAGAAGTCTATTGTGACTCTTGCAACATGTGGTCGGGCATTATCTTGTTGGAAAGTTGGATCTGCCAGGGTGTCAAGATAGGGTAAAAGATGGGGTTCTAGAACTTCGTGGATATAACGCTGCGCGTTCATGTTACCTCTGATGAAGATTAAAGGTGACCTGGAACCATAAGCACCCCAAATGATAACTCCAACAGTGTGATGAACATGTCTTTCAACAAAAAACTGTGGATTCCTCCTTTCACCAAGTCGCCTTCTAACCCCGGCACGACCGTCGTGCATGTCTAAACAAAATGAATGAAAACAAGCCAAAACTTCTCATTCGTCGGTAAACACTTCGCATGCCAATAGGTCTTCCGTGTTCTGCAAACCATTCATTTGCAATGGACCTGGTAGTGGAGAAACGGTCCCTTAAGGCCAATAATCTTAGGCGGCGATCTTCTCGGTCTGTTGTTCTACGGCGGCGTCCAGTGCCCCTTGCTCTTTGCGTACGGCCTTCTCGAAGCCATGCCTGACAACACCTAACCACAGTGTCTACACTTCTTTGCACTCTAACTGCAATTGCCCGAAAAGAAAGTCCAGCTTCCTGAAGTCCCACTATACGGTTCCTATCAAACTCACTAAGTTGACGAAATCGTACAGGTCTCCGTACTCTAGGCATCGTAACCGATCGTAAATGATGTCAAGAACCAAAATCCGCCAACGTTGATTCTTTACTGCGGCTGAAATATTCATTTTTAAAGCGTTAGTGAATTAAAAAAAAGCAGTATAAAAACCGGAATGTCCAACTGATAAGGCTGAAAATTTTTTCACTTGTTATTTACAGTAAGATAAATACATTCACCAACTTTTATTAAAATAAAACCATTTAAACTGGGTGTTCGGATTTATATGTCACTTAGTATATTTAAAAAAATTAACTATGCCGTTTCATAGTAGTGCATTGGTTCAACGATCATTAAACAATTTAATGCAATTCCCAACCAGTTCCTTACTCTTTCAAGTTTTAAAATACAATATAAGAAATATTTGCTAAATAGAAATCTGAACAAACTCTTATAGAATAGAGATTGAAATTTATAATATAGGTATATAAGTAGAAAAAATATGTCAAGCCAATTTTATAGTAACCAGTAACCAAATTTTATAGTGACCAGTATTAACGAATGTCTTTTTGAAATATTAATATACTTTCAGTCCATTTAGTGTTAACACGTGATTATTATTATGATTATTCTGTATTGTTGTTTAAGACTTATTACTATTATTATTTTGTTGTCTTATTTTGTTTCAGTAGAGTAGCTTTAAGGTAGACTTGGGCCAACATTAGGCAATGTATTCTGCATTTTTTTTCTAAATGACCTTTGTAAAAAGATTATTTGTTTTGTTCAATAAAGTCATTTATTATTATTATTATAATAAAAATGACAAATCGATTAATAATTGGCAAAAATATGACTATTATAAGAGGAGGAACGAAAAAGCAATAAAAATACTACACTTACAAAATCATACCTTAATACAGGATAATTTGTTTGAAACTACATTTTTTTATTTTTATAATACATTTTCAATATGGCGCCCCCTATTTCTAATGCACACACGTGCTCTTCTTATGACAGCTGATTTTATTACCGCCGAATTCCTAAGAGAGGCTTGATTTTTTTGTGCTAGATGTATTATCCTGTTTCTGAGGTCTTCTATTGTGTTCTATCCATCGATTCGGAAACTGCTCATTTAACCAATTTCTAACACTTGGTCTGAAATGTGCTGGGCACCCGTCATGCTGAAAAATCATTCTGTGTCTTGTGTGTAGAGGCACGTCTTCAAGTAATTCAAATAGAACATTTCTTAAGAAATTTTCGTAGGCTTCTCCATTTAAGTTGACGGGTAGGAAATGTGGTCCTACCGAACAGTTATTTATAATGCCCATCCAGATATTCAGACAAAATCGCCTTTGAGATCCTTTTGTTTCTTCATATGAGGATTTCCCACTGCCATCTTCATAAAATTTTTATTCGTCGGTCCATGGAATTTTACTTAAAATTGCTATCTTCAACATCAGCGTTTAAAACAAAACGACAAAATTGCATGCGCCTCATCAGATCTCCTTCCTCTATGACGTGCACAGGTGTGTAGTGGCAAGGGTGGAATATGTTCTCATGAAAAACATACCACACTTGCCATTGGGATAATCCAAGCCGTCGAGCCACAGCGCGAGTAGAGAGAGTAGGGTCTCTTTGGAAAATATATAATATTTCTTCTTCTTTTTCCACATCATATCGAGGTATACCTGCATCACCTGAAGTAAAATGAAAAACCAAATAACAACAGTTTTTTTGGAGGAAATTGTTACCTAATAAACATAGCGGTAAGACTATGAGCTAGAGTTGGCAAAATATTATTTAGAAAAAACGATACACAACGTGTGGATGTTTCCATCTTCAGAGCCGTGTAGATGCTCGTGTTAAAATTAAATGGGTAAACTCTCAATTAAGAAGTTCAATCAACTGTATCAAAAAAACTTTGTTACAGTATCATCAGTTCAACCCACAGACCTCCAAGGCTCTACGTAGGCCTTACTGAATGACTGATTATGATAAGTTAATAATTATCAATGATGCAAACTTACCTTGATATCTTACGACGGTACCGCGCTCTCGAACCCGACGGAACGTTTGCCTAAATACCCGGGCGTCAGGTAGGCGACGATTAGGAAACTCCCCCCCCATACTCACGACGAGCTTCTTCAGCATTGCCTCTGGCATCTCCATAGTAGAAAAGGATATCGGCATATTCTTCGAAACTGAACGACCGCCTCCTTTGTTGATCAGCCATTGTTCATCGATAGGAAGATCAACGAACAATCAAGTCACACAGCAGCCAAGTCGTAAGGAATCACAGAAAACAGTGTGTGTCTTCGTCTCGAAAACTTTGATAAAAGTCAACTACTTCCACTAAAAGTATATTTTTTTATTTATTACAGTTTGAGGTGTTAACAGTCAAAACCAACACACACTCAGTATGTTACAATAAAATATGAGTAATTTGTACAAAATTATGAGTTAGTAAGATAGTCATTAATTTTCAGATAATGATTGTAGAAGGAAGATAAACCAAAATATGTGTGTAAAAATAAAATAAAAATTAAAAAAAAATGTTACCTTGTTTCATAAAGTATCCTCCCGACAAGTATTTCAGTGCGGACCTGTATTTGATCGTGCGGTCTTGGAGCACCGGCATGCCCTCCCCTGTGAGGTCTTAAGTCACCTGACTCACGAGCCCTTTGTACTACATTAACAAAGGCACGAGTGGTTGGTTGCACTCTTTGGGAAACCGATCCGCATAAAGACTCCCCCCCCCCCCGTAAATAAGAAAATAAGAATCACGTCCACAAGTTCAGCATTTTCGTAAAAATGTACCATTTTTTATTTCGTTTGAGCCACGCAACAGACACCACTCACGCGTTACCGACTAACACTGACTGTATACAACTGAATAAAATAATCGTAAAAACATCGTTCCAAATTCTTTCGCTTTTTTGTTTCCGATGCGACGAACCGATAAGGCGGATTATATCCGTTGTTGCCAAACACGAGCACATAATATTATCATTGAGACAGGGCGGTACTCAAACTTCCAAAGGGCTATAACTTTCTTACTTTAATTTTACCAGAAAAATGGTAAAGGAAAAAAACATATCTTTTGATCAGATCTAGTCACTGTTAAAATAAATGACTCAACTTCGAAGTCACCCTGTATATTGACTACGAAAAATTATTAATATTATGTGATTGTTGATTTAAAGTTAAGTTAATTTTAAAGTTTTACTTTACGCTTAGACGTTACCACAAAACGATTCTTCTTCACAAAATTGATTGTAGGATCCTTGACCTCTTACTAATTGAGAATGTATGCCCAAGATAGTCTGGAACTTTAAACTGAACTAGGGAAAGCAGATTATTACAGTCGTAGACGTTATTAACGAGTCTGTATATACAGGGTGACTTTGAAGTTGAGTCATTAATTTTCAGCTAATGATTGTAGAAGGAAGATAAACCAAAATATGTGTGTAAAAATAAAAAAATAAATAAAAAAAAATGTTACCTTGTTTAATAAAGTATCGTCCCGACAAGTATTTCAGTGCGGACCTGTATTTGATCGTGCGGTCTTGGAGCAGCATGCCCTGACCTGTGAGGTCTTAAGTCACCTGATTCACGAGCCCTCTGTACTACATTAACAAAGGCACGAGGGGTTGGTTGCACTCGATTGGGAAACCGATTCGCATAAATCCGTGATGTACCCGGGAGCATTTTGTAAAGACTGCCCCCCCGTAAACAAGAATCATGTCCACAAGTTCAGCATTTTCGTAAACATGTGCCATTTTTGATTTCGTTTGAGCCACGCAACAAACACTACTATTCACTAACGCGTTATCGACTGACGAAAAACATCGTGATAAACGTTTCAAATTCTTTCGCTTTTTTGTTTCCGATGCGATGAACCGGTCAGGCGGATTATATCCGTTGTCGCCAAACACGAACAAATTATTATTGAGACAGGGCGGTACTCAAACTTCCAAAGGGCTATAACTTTGTTACTTTGATTTTACCAGAAAAAAATTATTTTGATCAGATCTACTCACTGTTAAAATAAATGACTCAACTTCGAAGTCACCCTGTATGTATAAGTATCTGAAATTATTCTTCTAGTAAACATATTAAGTCTTTTCATGATTAAACCATAATTACTATCAGTGATAGGAGTGCCACATTTAAAGGCAAGTTTACGTAAAAACTTGGATTCCATACAACAGAGGCGAAAGAAAGTTTACTGAATATATAGGAGTAGGGAACGACCCTGTATGAAAAAATATGTAGCAAGAAAAACCTTATACCTTATATATAAGCGGCGCTGCGAAATAGTTAAGAGGGATATCATTTTATAGCGGGACAGTTTTCACCTTCTGTAACAGAGAAACTCATTTCAAAGTTTACTTTGACCTTAGCTTCATGTAACTACTCAGAGTTCTGCTAACATAAGATGCATCTAATTCGAACCGTCTGAAGAAGCAGACACATAATTTTCCTCCTTCTAGAGCAAGAAAGCTGTAATTTTACGCTTACGTTTATTCGATAAGTTACGGCGCATCTGGGAGCAACTAAATCTCGAATTCAACCATCAAGGACGTACAAATGATATAAGATATTCGTTATAACTTCGGTATGGAGAAGATTAAAACCGGAATGAGATGATACTTTCAGCTTTGCGTGGAGATACCTGCTCAAGGAGCCAGTGATCATGATAATTTATTTCAAGACGTTTTTTACCTCCGATTTCAGAAATCCCAGCGGTCGGAGCCAATTTACGATTTATAATATAATTCCAAATCCGATTGGTTCACTTCAGATAAAGCTTGAACATACGTTGATTTTTATTCAATTCTTCGTAAATTCAGTGTGAGAAGTATACACGAAACAGTTCGGAAGATTTCAATACGAGACTATAAGTTCAGCTCAGTTTTTGTTTTTTGAAAAACGCTCGGACCCGTCGATTTTGTGTGACACCAACCCTAAAATCTTGGAAAGGGGGGTCGAGTGATACCTTGTTTAAATGGTCTTTCAATTCCCTTTATAATGATGCAAAATACATGAGCTTCAGTTCAGCAGTCTTGAAGATTTAATGATTTAAAGTTTAAATAAAACTAATACGTCATCATTCACGATTCTTTGTCGCGGGTCTTCTAATGATGTTGGCTGAGTAGCATAGATTTTGCTTTTTAAATGACCCCACATAAAGAAATCCAAAGGTGATAAATTTGGCGATCTTGGGAGCCATTCAATGGCACCTCTTCTACCAATCCATCGATCTGGAAACATCTGATCCAAATATTGTCGAACACGTAATGCGTAATGTGGTGGGGCACCATCCTGTTGGAACATCAACCTATTCACAATGTACCGCCGATCATTCTGATTTTCAATTACGGCTGTTAATGCAGGATCTATGGCGTTTTCCAGTAATTCCAAATACATTTCACCGGTCAAATTTCCAGGTAAGAAAAAAGGACCAACTAAATAATCGCCAAAAGTGCCAGCCCAAACATTTAATTGATGTGGCTGCTGTGTATGAACCTCATGATAAATTCTGGGATTAGAACCGGGACAATATCGGCAGTTATGACGATTTACTACGCCATTTAAGAAAAAGGAACATTCGCCGGAAAAGCAAGTGTTGAATAGAAAATGTTCATCGTTTATAATTCGTTCACACATATCTTCACAAAATTGTAATCGCCGATCAAAATCGTTTTCATTAAGCTCTTGTACAAGGTGAATTTTATACGGATGAAAACTATGGGCCTTTAGAATCCTTTGGCAGTACGTCGACTGACACCACAATTTGCGGGTACTTAACGTAGGATGTACATAAACTTGCCCTAAAACCCCCACTTCTATTGCTTCGTTCCTTATGGGATTTTCAATGCTGCGTTTTTTATTGGCGACTGACCCAGTTTCCCTAAATTTAGCTACAAGTTCCAGAACATATTTTCGATGCACGTTACTGTTCTCGTGTCGCTCATTAAATATTTCTGCTGTTCTATTAGCGCACTGATTATTTCCGAAAAATATTTCGATAATTTCAACTCTTTCTGTTGTGGAATACGCCATGGTTAATTTATGTAATAAAGCGTGTTACACGTTGTTTTAGCAACAATGTTTGGTCAAACCAATCGCATACTATGTACTAAATTCCCACAAAAAAAAACGCTCCAATAGCTATTTTCAACAGCAAAATGATAAACAAACTATGGGCGTAGTGAAGAAAAGCATTTACTTATTAAGTAAATTCTTTTAGTCAAATTTCTTCTTAAAATAGTACAAACTAATCTGATGTACCTATTGAAGCCTTTGGGGCAAAAAGGTGTTAACTCAGATTTTATAGTTTGGAGATAATTGGCCTCAAAGTTTAAATTCTGACATTTTTTTATTAAATAGTGTTGGAGCTGATTTTATTATTGAAGGTTATTCTAGACAGAACAGACAGTGTTGTTAAAAAAAATCTTTTTAAAAAACTGTTATTTGCTTGGTCCCGAAAACGAAAGTAGCAGAAAGGTGTTAATTCTATGATGTTATTTATTAAGAGTAAACATTGTTCTTACAAACTCACAAAAGTAATAACAGCAAATAATCCACACACTGTAATAATCCACTTCTAAAATTTTGATGAAAGCCTGTAAACTTTTCTGGTATTAAAATTTGTTCCTGAATATTATAAAACTTTTTGGCGCCAATAGGTCGACTTCCATCGACTTTCAATAATAATGGTTCATCTTCTACTCTTCTATCGATATTCCGCTGTTTTCTTACATCAATAATAGTACAATTTTCTATTTCAAATTTCTCATTTTCTATCAAGCAGTCCAAGTTTTCTTTGAAGTTCTTTAATATCTACAAATTTGTCCGCCACTCTTATAATATTAAAAGGTGTTTTTTTTCTGGCTTCTGCCATGATTGAAATATATTGATTCGCCATGTAAATTAGTAGGTGCTTTTCCAGACTTGTCTATAGCTGCAAAATCTCGATGAGAGACCATGAAGGTATGTCCTACTTCAGGGAACTTATGGTAATTTTTTTTGAAAATTCCAGAGATTCTTAGGTAGTGCCATAGACAGGCAATATGAAAACTTTTATTTTAGCCACCTGCCGAATCACTCCAGGCAATTAGATGATCGGAAACCATGCCTTGGTCCTCGATATTTTCCAAAAAGGCCATAAGCGAGTGTCAACCTCTTCAGGACCGCGATTTCGGTCGACAGGTGGAAAAAATCTTTACCATTTGGTTGCTGTGTTGATAACGAACGTATTCTTAGAATGTAGAGTCATACT